CGCGCGCCACCAAAACGCAACAGACAGCCAAATTACGGAAGGCACATAGCACCTACAAGCACAGATCGAAAATCCTACCAATCGGTGCACACGTCGGAGGAATATTGATTTTCCGAACGTTTAAACATGTTAGTTGTTTGTTGCCCAATTTTTCCACGTCTGATGACGACCGGTTGGTCCGTGTCGAAAATTCACGAAGTAAAATTGGACATTCCCGAATAAAGTCTTATTCTCATAACATGGCAGGATGTATGAAACGCAAATCCAACGCGCCTGGACTCATTAACACATTGTAAGATTAGGGGTGGAGTCAGTCACCTAAAGTCAACCTCAACCCGAGCCCATATGGCCTGAGGGCTTTCAAGCACTCTTATGCATGCCACAAATGAAGACGCCTTCCAGACTGCTTCAAGTAATCAAATAATAGCCCAATTAAAGTGCCCTTTATTTTTTGGAGCCAATTCTAAACCTATCATCTATATTGAATGCTACGCGAGATGATGTTACGCCAATTTATGAAAAAGTTTTTCCAAAGGGGTCTGTTTAAAAACACATTTTAGTGAAACTTTTAAGGATATCTACAAGCAAAAGAGCCAATATACAGAATTCGGGTTGCCCCATCCAATGCAGTCCAAGGAAGTGTAGGAGTATTCTCTTCAAACAACATAACAAAGGAAACTGAAAAGGTCGCGTGCTTTTACATGTTGAGTGATCATCTTCCTAGGTTAGCTTAGTTTCTTTATAGCGAGTTGCAGTCTTTATTTCGATTTGCCAAAAATTACGGAGACTACAAAAATAATTCACAGGTTTTTACGGCAATGATAAGGATGAATTAACCATGGAATTTTTTCCTACACTTATAAAACTATTTGTTCGATGATCCGATATGGTAGCTGACTGACCTCTGTATTGTGATCTGGTACTATTGGTCTGTAAATTGCGCCCCCTAAATGATCAACTATTATATTACTTTTCTCTGCACTTCATAGAGATCGTTCGACTTACGTTATCTTCATCTCAGTATGCAGCAACCTTAACTACCTCCTATAGACGATTTTCATCATTAGGTTTTTGGCAAGGGACTGATTCCAGCTCCAATCAGACTTGCCTTTACCACTGAATATTCACAGCTAGAAACGCCACCAAACTAACCAATTGTGGACGAAGGAAAAGTGTGATCGATCTTTTTTTTCAAAAATGTCGGCTTCCCCCAGATTACAAACGCCACCGAAATATCGATTTTTTGATGCTTCATTCTGATTGGATTGGTTTGTGCCGGAGGCATTTTTGCTTACTCCAGGCACACAAAGGCGTCTGAATGCGCTCAAAACTCAGATGTTGGCTGTTTTTGCTTCTGCTGATATTGGGACTGTACCGACAGTCAAACTGCATTTCGCTTTATGAAGTCAGGCATGGAACCTACCCTGTGGACTTATGGTGGAAATGCGGTGGGGTGCCGCAGATACAAAACCAACCTGTCGCGTACCTGGAAGGTGCTTCCCGGCAATACTACATGGCACAAACCGCGGGCCGAGACTTCCAAGATCGGATGCTGGAGGAGCACGTTCCACCAAGCTCTATTCTTACACACGAAAAGTACAAGGAGTTGTTTACTATGATCCTCAAGGAAGAAGAAGAAAAACTTGGAAGTCTGATTATGATGCGCATAAACTGTCTACTCTTCAACGATCAACAATGGATACAAGATGAGTTCGAAAACATTCTTTCTCGGAGTACTGCTGGAGTTCGTGGGATCCTGGATACGCTATATCGGTAAGTTGATTGCGTCGACTGCAGAGGAAATATTTTTTGTTGCAAAATGTTGTTTGTTGGGGCAGTAGATGTGCGCTGTAAATTCTGAATTGCTTTTTGCGATTTGAGCAGATTACTTAAGTGGGGTTGCAATAATGATTATCGTGGAGTCTACTGCCAAGATATTGCAGGCATTTCCGAATGCCCACTCTTGAATGAGCTTCCTTCGAGCCGCCTACGAAAACTCTACCATGACCATAATTCCTTAAGTAGTGGGCTTTTTTATGCCTGATTTTCGATGCCCTCCTACAGTCGCATGTATGCTTTTTAGAAAACACACACAAAGCCATCAGTTAACTCAGTAATATGGCAGCACAGTACGTCTTATTCAAAGTTTTCACTGGAAGTGGAGGTTGCCTTATGAATTTAAAACCTTTTTTTTCAATTACCGAATAATTCCGAATCGGAACCATTTCTACATTTCCGTTCAGAGCCTCCAAACTGCTTGTTTTATACATTCAGTCTAAAGGTAAATAATACAGTACGGTCTTGAATCCGTGTGACATGCTGACATATGCGAAGGATTGATACTCTCTCGCTAATTGGCATTGAGTAAGGTTGTTATACTGATCGTCGTGTAGTCTATTCTGAAGTCATTTCAGTCACAATAGGACGCCGGCTATTTAACGAGCTTCTTTCTGACCACTAACAAAACGTATGAACTGTTTGATTGCCTTTATTATTTGATATACATTTTATAGAAAGCATACGGAAAAACATAGTTGTTGTACTCGTTTGGTAGCAAATTAGGCCCTACTTAAATTTTATATTTGAAGAAAAGGCATTTTTCGGTTTAAAAAAGTTTGTAGTTACGAGCTTTTTTTACGATTATGATGTGTTCATTCATTATACATCACATATTTCAATTTATTAATGCTGCCTATAATTAAATAAGCGAAAAAATTCGAGGTCCAGGTAAAATATTGCTTGCATCATCCCCGGAAGAGGAAGAAGAAGTAGAGACGATTTCTGGGACCA